AACAATGTTGTTGACCTAATGCTCTTCCAGTTATATTGCCATGTTGCATGTAACCCCAATGGAAACGCAGCATCCAGACGACTTTCTACAAGACCAGACGACTTAACACAAGTGCTAGTAGAGGATGGCACAATGTGATATCTTACTTTCACCAAAAACATATCGTTCGATCCAAGATTGGAAACGATCATCGAGAATCATCGAGATAGCACTCGGCGCAAGTCCCGTCTCTCCCTTTCATCCGCTCAACAGGCCAGTGATCCAACTCCTTCAAACATCCACCACACCTAGGACCATCCTTCGGGGTGTCCAAAATGCCAGAGAAGTCCTGGTTCCCGGATGCTCCCTCCATCACTCCGAGATGCAGCCGTTCCACCAGCCACTCCGCCTTCACCGACCGTTGCGGCAACGCTTCGCTGGCGGCCTCGTCTCCGCCGGCGCTGGACCCATCGGCGGAGCCGTCGGGTAAACGCTCGGCGTGGTCCCCGTAGTGCCTCGACGGGGGGCTGTTGGAGCCCGGACATGGTTTATATTTTGGACACCTCGACTCACCTCTAAGAGGCTATTTACACCTCAAGCGGAAGGTCCTGGTATGGTTTATATGGGAGTGAATCTTGTTGACGGTTCGTATCAGTCGAACATCCCAACGAAAAAATCAACTGGACACGCAAACAATACGTTACTAAGACTCAGAATCACATAGAATCGTAGAATCGGTGATCTACCGAAAAGCGAATTCTCGGGATGTATAGAGTATAGAGATCCAAGGTCTTTGAAAGTCATGAGTGACGTCCTTTAGAACCATGTAACACATGACCTGGTCCCTCCGTTCGTATCTTGTCTTCGCCACCAGGTCTGGTGTTTCCAGTTTCCTGTTTCTTGACATAGATCTTTTTCACCTTCCCCTTTCAACAAATGAGCTAGAAAAAAAACCTGGTAGCAAAATGATGATCCCAACAGCAAATCGTATGATTTACAAGCGGCGGTCTTCATATGTGACGATGGCGGCAATCATGGTGGTAGTAGTAGTTGTTGTTGTTAGTAGTTAGTAGTTAGTAGTTAGTAGTTCGTAGTTCGTAGTGGGTAGTAGGTAGTAGGTAGTAGGTAGTAGGTGGTAGGTAGTAGGTAGTAGGTAGTAGGTAGTAGGTAGTAAGTATAAGTAGTAGTAGTAGTAGTAGTAGTAGTAGTAGTAGTAGTAGTAGTAGTAG